GGTGAGAAGGATGGTAGAACAGGTGGATGAGGAATGAGAAATGTATTTTACAGCGAGACTTGGCTGTTGAAGCTGGATGAGGCAAATAAATGAAGCATATGAGTAGGCAGATGAGTAAAGGAAACGAGTGACCCAAAGTGCCGGACGAGACGTAAGGGGTTATCGGGACGTATGAGGCAGTGGGTAGAGCAGCTGGCTAGGCACATGCAGGTGGGTGATGCAGGGAAGCGGAGGAGGAGGAGGAGGAGGTCATGTACAGCTCAGATTAACTGCACGAGGAAGTGTCAGTCTATCATTATAATCTTTTCAGATATATTGAAAGATATCCCGCTCTTTCATATCTCAACAAAAGGGAATATCCCGCTCTGCTTGATTTGTTGATTAAGCTTAATTATTTTAATTAAGCTGCCTGCTACAGGCGTTATCTCAGCCTATATGTAAACTTAAGCTGTTGCTGGCATTTAATCTTAAGGTGTAGTTGGTGGGTGTCTGGCATATATACATCTTCTTGCACACAGCACACAAATGATTTTCTATTTTTTTTCCAACTCTTCTGGAAGTTAAGACCCACGGTGACAAGGGAAGTATGGTACCTAGTCCCCGTATTAATGTATGGTGACCTATCCCCCCCTTTTTTCCGGCATAAGGTGGGGGGAGGGGGGTAAGAAAACAGGCATGGCTCCAAGTTTCCGACATAAGAGGGGGTGCTAAGACATAGACATGGACCCCCAGTTGCCATGGGGGTGGGATGGGGTGATGGGGTGAGTGTTAAGAATCTGAGGGTCGAAGATTGACTCGGCTGTCACTGGGAGGGCGTACCCGGTAGCAGTGACATTGGCTCCACCCATGACCCTAAGTTCTATAGATAATTCTTTTATATTTGATTTTTTTTGCAGCATCTGTGGACTCTTTCTAACTTATCCTATGTCGGATATAATGCGCAGTCTTTTATCCCCTAATCTACTTTTCCTTGCCTAAACTCAGATTTCCAATGCCGCTTCTATTGACCATTTATCTGTTACTTACTAAAATAGTCTTAAATTTTTGAACAGCATGGGTGGAGGGGTCCTCTCCTGTTGCTCTACTAGTGACCATGTCCCTCGCGTATTCAGTTTTGGATCCCCAAACTTGTTCTGTGCCTTGGCTCAAGATCTGTATCGCCTCTGTTGCCAAATTGATCTGTGGTGGCTATCGCTTCCCTCACACTCCTATCAGTCTGACTTCTTTGTTTATATGAATTTCAAATACAAAAATCTTCTATTCTCCTGGGCTGTATGGGTCTCGAACCGTGGACCCCACGCGCGTGAGGTCGTAGCTCTATCCAGATTCGAGTATGGGTTCGAGACCCATACAGTCCAGGTGAATGGAAGGTTTATGTCCTCGGAAGTGTGGATGACATTTTTTTTTTTACAAAAATCTTGTTCCCATTCCAAGAGAAGTCGAGCCTCTATGTCCTCCTCTGATAACCATGGAGCTATTATCATAAACAAGCTATTCAGTTAAATATGCTACTTTATACTTATTGAATTTGCCTTTCCATTGAAGACTTTCGGCGCCGTGGAGAGGGGGGACCTGCTGCATGGGTAACAGCTTCTTCCCCGTATCAACTTACCCTGGCTTTGCGCCCTGCTGAGTCCACTCCAGACCGACAACCGGAGCGCAACTCCATAGTCTCCTGAGACTGATGGATGCCTACTACTACTACTTATTGAATTTGCAGCAAAATTGAAGGTCTCACACTTTCAATGTTCTCACCAAACTAGTAATATCTACGAAACTTTGCAGCTTCGTGACGGAGGAAACTATACATTACTATCAAATCTCACGGTATCTCTGTTCTGCCTCTGTTTGGTGACGACGCACACGATTACAAGACGAGACGTTCAGGCAGGGAACATTATTGATCGTCTGCGACGACAGAACGAGTAGGACGTCTTATTCTTAAATTAAGTAAATAGAAGAATTCTATCAGTATAATGATAATGTAAATATTTTAAGCTTGGAACATGTTTTTAACACGGGGTGAACCCGTCTTTAATGTGTAAGGGTCGTGGGCTGAGGCCGTGACACAGGGTCGTGGGCTGAGACCGTGACACAGGGTCGTGGGCTCAGACCGTGACACAGGGTTGTGGGCTGAGGCGTGACACAGGGTCGTGGGCTGAGACCGTGACACAGGGTTGTGGGCTGAGACGTGACACAGGGTCGTGGGCTGAGACATGACACAGGGTCGTGGGCTGAGACCTGACACATGGTTGTAATGGCGTCTTGCTGGGTAATCCATGTCAAATTTGATGGTACAAAAATTAGTATACGCACCAGGCAATGGGACTGACTTTTGAATGTCGAGTCAGATAATGTTGGCACGCAACTCTGGCTTGTTCTTACTTCATGGCGTGGTAGGTAGAGGGAACAATACATTGATGACGGTCTTATTGATGTTGCTGCCTAATATATACATCATTGCGTGTGTCCGGTCAAATTTGCATCTTGTCCAAGTTGCTTTAAGGCTGACGGACCCGTCAGCTGTGTTGTGTCTAATGAAGCGCTCCGTCGCCGATCACAGCTGTGGCCACGTGTGTCGTCTCCACACCTGTCACTCACCGTTCACAGCTGTGGCCACGTGTGTCGCCTGCACACCTGTCACTCACCGTTCACAGCTGTGGCCACGTGTGTCGCCTGCACACCTGGCACTATTGGTACATAAGGCGCCTAACCGGACTGATCTCCAGTGCTTCTCTAATGAAGCAAGATGACTTCTGACGTAGCAAATGGTGCTCTGATGTCCCTCAATTATTGCTTTATTTAAATATCTTCCAAACACCTGTTCTACACCCCACAACTGTCCTTCACAAAATCCTGTCCTCTGTCCATTACTGTCCACTGCCACTACTGTCCTTTGCTCACTACTGTCCTCTGCCCATTACTGTCCTCTGTCCACTACTGTCCTTTGCTCACTACTGTCCTCTGCCCACTACTGTCCTCTGTCCATTACTGTCCACTGCCACTACTGTCCTCTGTCCACTACTGTCCTCTGCCCATTACTGTCCTCTGCCCACTACTGTCCTCTGCCCATTACTGTCCTCTGTCCACTACTGTCCTCTGCCCACTACTGTCCTCTGCCCACTACTGTCCTCTGCCCACTACTGTCCTCTGCCCACTACTGTCCTCTGCCCACTACTGTCCTCTGCCCACTACTGTCCTCTGCCCATTACTGTCCTCTGCCCACTACTGTCCTCTGCCCACTACTGTCCTCTGCCCACTACTGTCCTCTTCCCACTACTGTCCTCTGCCCACTACTGTCCTCTGCCCATTACTGTCCTCTGCCCACTACTGTCCTCTGCCCACTACTGTCCTCTGCCCACTTCTGTCCTCTGCCCACTACTGTCCTCTTCCCACTACTGTCCTCTGCCCACTACTGTCCTCTGCCCACTACTGTCCTCTGCCCACTACTGTCCTCTGCCCATTACTGTCCTCTGTCCACTACTGTCCTCTGCCCACTACTGTCCTCTGCCCACTACTGTCCTCTGCCCACTACTGTCCTCTGCCCACTTCAGTCCTCTTCCCACTACTGTCCTCTGCCCACTACTGTCCTCTGCCCACTAGTGTCCTCTGTCCACTACTGTCCTCTGTCCACTACTGTCCTCTGTCCACTACTGTCCTCTGTCCACTACTGTCCTCTGTCCACTACTGTCCTCTGTCCACTACTGTCCTCTGTCCACTACTGTCCGCTGTCCACTTCTCTCCTCTGCCCATTTTTGTCCCCCTACTGATTTTCTCATCAGCACTATTATTAGCATCAACACCAGCACAACTACCATCATCAATACCAGTACCATCATCGTCACCCTCATCAGTACCATCAGCATCTTCAGGACCACCGCCCTCAACGCTATCTGCGTTCCAAACCGAAAGATTCCAGGTTCGAGTCCCACGATAATGCAGAAGCGTTCAGACACGCTTCCTTTCGCCTCCTGTTGCCTCTGTTCACCAAGCTTTAAATTGGGGGTACTTGGGAGCTAGGCGACTGTTGTGGGATGGATCCCAGAGGAAGGTTAGTGTTTGGTGAGTCTCGATGATAGGAGACCAACTACCATCACCTGGGATGGGTGAGTGCAGGAGACCCCCAGGGTGAAATACCTCCCACCACCACCTGGGATGGGTGGTTGCAGGAGACCCCCAGGGTGAACTACCTCCCACCACCACCTGGGACGGGTGGTTGCAGGAGACCCCCAGGGTGAACTCCCACCACCACCTGGGACGGGTGGTTGCAGGAGACCCCCCACCACCACCTGGGATGGGTGGTTGCAAGGAGACCTTGAGTGCTGCACAACTCCCTAAGGATGGTGGCGCCCTTCTCACTCCCCCGGGACCAACTCCTTCAATCACTGTTGCCAAGAACGACACACAAATAATACCTCTTGTCATATATCGTGACGTTGTTCATCATACTCGCCTCTTAAGCCTCTGATACCAGTGAAAAATGCTGCTAATCGTCTACAAGATGAAAGAAAGTTTCACCCCTATTTAAGCCCAAACCAGGATCTTGGGAAATATATATAATATACTTTATTGTGAATATCGATGAATGCATGAAATCCGTCCCTTTTGGCAGCACTGTGTTCAATTAGTATGCACAGTAAGTCGGCAAGACGTGACGCCGCCTCCTGACCCCTGCTGCCATCTGCGGGCCGCGCCGCGCACTGACTCCCCTCGGGGTGAAGATGAGACCTCTGGAATCCACCAACATTCTCACAGACTTCGAGCTTGAGGGCCTTCTTGCCTAGGCAAAGGCTTTAATTCGCATTTTTCGAGCCTGCTGCGTAGTTTCAGGCATGTATCGTGGCTCGAGATGCATAGCGCCCTTCAAAATGGCAGAGGCGTAGAAAATGGGAATGACATCATCCATGGGTATGCCACCTTTCCAATTCTCACGGCCCTGGAGTCCCGAAAGACGAATCTGAGAGAAATGATAAGGTACTTACTATGGTCCGGGAGTCGGTCGGTAAGGCGTGGGTGATCCACAGACAGCTTGCCCTACCCACCCTCGCCACCCCCGCCTTCCTTGGGCACTCGGCGCCCCTCTCGCCACACGCCTCTGGAAAATCTTGGGCTGGAAGAGGTTGGTAAAGGAGGGGGCGGCAAACACACACACACACACTCCCTCCCCACCCTCACCGTATGGTGGAGTCGGTACTGCACTTGGGGCAGGTCTCCGCTAGTGGCACTTGGGCCTGCGGGAGAGGCGACGGGCACCTCACACGCGCCGCCGCCGTCGCCGCCGCCTGCTGACGAAGGCCCCCCTGCAGGAGGTCACCCTCGGGCACGACGCAGCGGGACGTCGACCTTGCCGCCCCGGAGGAAGTGCTGTGAGGGCGGTCAAGTGGTCGAGGGGTGTGTGTGAGAGTTGCGCCGTTTGTGCCGCCCCGGGTGTCACGCCTCACGTCACTAATGCCACCTGTCACGCCTCTAGTGCCACCCGAGTGTCACTCTTCCCTAGCAAGTGCCGCCGGTGCCTCGCCAAATGAACCGTCCTTCATACAACTAGTGTCGCAAGAGCGTCACGCGTCACGCCCCTAGTGACGCCCGAGTGTCACGTGTTACGTCACTAGTGCCACCCGAATGTCACGCGTTACTAGTGTCACCAGAGTGTCACGTGTCACTAGTGCTATCAGAGTGTCACGCGTCATTAGTGTCACCAGAGTGTCACGTGTCACCAGAGTGTCACGCTCTCTGCCCCGTATATTAATGTGATGTGCGTTTAGGAGAATGGGTTACGGGATTCATAGTATTCATTCCTGAGCAAAGTTCTACTGCGGCCACAGGAGTCACCGTAGGACACCTGCCTCACGCTACACGCTGACGCATCCTCAGTAATCACCGTAGGACACCTGCCTCACGCTACACGCTGACGGAGCCGCAGGAGTCAGCGGCGGTGGAGGACCTACCTCACGGTACTCGCATTTCAACTCACTCTCAATAAGTCTAATATATCAATTTAAGATTTATACAAGAAATACGACGTTTAAAGTGTCACAGAGACAACACCGGTGACCGTCAGTTGAACAGCTCTGAGACTAACCAACTTAGCAATCCCGTTCTTCCCTTGACGACGGCCGCCAGAACTATAATACGCGAACCGCTGAGGCAGAGGAGTGTAATGGTGTGATTGGTGGTTTGTTGGGTTGTTAGCAAGGCGCGGGGTCCGTCCTCTGGGCAGACGACAGCGGGGATATGCTCGCTGCGCCAGATACCTTAGCCTTCGTCACGTGAGTATTGTCTTGTATTGTTCAGTATTTGCCTGTGTTACATGCGGAAGGTGATCTTGCTGCTCGGCATGGTCTCCTGCCGGTAGCTTCAGGGGGGCGGCAGAGGTGTCCTCCTTGAATTAACCTCATACAGCCACCGAGGCTCGCTGGGGTCCATGTTAACCTTCAATTCTCTGACTCTAGACTGTGCTGCGTTGGGTAGCGAAGGTATCGTGTTGAGGAAGTGTGTTTGTGGTCAGACGGGATATGAAGCAGTGTTGCGGTGTTTGGTAACGATGGGGCTCGTGTGGTGTGTGTTAAGTACGGTCGCTCTCCACCAAAAAAAATGCAGGTAAAGAATGTGAGGTGTGGTGAAGCGAGAGTGTCTCCACCGGTGGTGTGGTGCACCAGTACCACACCAGGATGGTGGAGGGCAGGCCGCCCACCAAGGTGGTGTGGACGCGGCCACACCACCTTGGTGGGCGATGCCCTTCACACCAAGGTGCTGAAAACCGCCCCCTCAGTTACATGGTCATGTTAGCATACATGACAATAAATGCTTTAGATCTGTATATAAATTAATATTCTCTTGGTAAAAAAATAATATTATATATATATATATATATATATATATATATATATATATATATATATATATATATATATATATATATATATATGCAACTGAAATCACAAAAACACTGATCCAAGTATGCGGAAAAACCTCCTTTAGTATTCTCTATATGTAAAATATAGAGAATACTAAACGCGTTTTCGGCTCAATTCGCCTCCTTCAGAGCAAAATTGTTCCCTCTGATGAAGGCGAATTGAGCCGAAAATGCGTTTAGCATCCTCTATTTTTCACATGAGGATTTCCGCATAGTTATATTTATAGGTTTTCGAAGGAGCTGAATTCTTAGCTAACTGAAACCACAAGAGACCCCTAGAGCCGTCAGTTTTCTCTTTCAGCGCCTTAGTGTGGCGAGTCAGAGAGGAAACGCACACTGCATCCATGGTTCCTGCGCGCCATCTGAGGAACTGGAAGAACTCGACAACCTGTGACAACTAGCCTTGTACCTTGCATGTAACCAAAGTTGTAACCCATTTTGTGTAATGAAGTTTTGATCAAATAAAATTACAAAATACACAATATATAGGGGGTGGTAGGAGAAGACAATATGTGAGTGTACGAGGCTGCCCCCACAAGGCTCTCCTGGATGCTACATATCGTCTTCTTCGAGGTCGAGGGTCCCTACAAACGCAACCAGATGTGTTATATATATATATATATATATATATATATATATATATATATATATATATATATATATATATATATATATATATATATATATATATTAAATTAAAGCCTTTGCCAATATATATAATTTTTTTTCTTTGCTTTTTGAAATTTTGCTCTGAAGAAGGCGGGTTGAACAGAAAATACGTTCAGCATTCTCTATATTTCACATGTGGTTTTTTCGCATACTTGGATCAGTGTTTTTGTGATCTCTGTTGCTTTTATATATATATATATATATATATATATATATGTCGTACCTAGTAGCCAGAACGCACTTCTCGGCCTACTATGCAAGGCCCGATTTGCCTAATAAGCCAAGTTTTCATCAATTAATTGTTTTTCGACTACCTAACCTACCTAACCTAACCTAACTTTTTCGGCTACCTAACGTAACCTAACGTATAAAGATAAGATAGGTTAGGTTAGGTAGGGTTGATTAGGTTCGGTCATATATCTACGTTAATTTTAACTCCAATAAAAAAAATTGACTTCATACATAATGAAATGGGTAGCTTTATCATTTCATGAGAAAAAAAATAGAGAAATATATTAATTCAGGAATACTGGCTTATTAGGCAAATTGGGCCTTGCATAGTAGGCTGAGAAGTGCGTTCTGGCTACTAGGTACGACATATATATATATATATATATATATATATATATATATATATATATATATATATATATATATATATATATATATATATATATTATATACACATATATATATGACGACTGAAAACTCACACCCCAGAAATGACTCGAACCCATACCGCCAGGAGAAACGCAACTGGTATCTACAGGACGCCTTAATCCGCTTGACCATCACGACCGGACATAAGGAAGTGATAGCCGAAGCTATTTGAACCACTTCCCCGCCGGCACTCGGATGGTAATCTTGTTCATAGCATGTTATCAAAGCACCTCATTCTTTGGGGCACACATGAGGAACACAAAGAGGAACACAAATTATTTGTGTTCCTCACGTGTGCCCCAAAGAATGAGGTGATTTGATAAAATGCTATGCCCAAGATTACCATCCGAGTGCCGGCGGGGAAGTGGTTCAAATAGCTTCGGCTATCACTTCCTTATGTCCGGTCGTGATGGTCAAGCGGATTAAGGCGTCCTGTAGATACCAGTTGCGTTGCTCCTGGCAGTATGGGTTCGAGTCACTTCTGGGGTGTGAGTTTTCAGTCGTATATAGTTCTGGGGGACCATTCAGGCTTGTTCGCATATATATATATATATATATATATATATATATATATATATATATATATATATATATATATATATATATATATATATATATATATATATATATATATATATTTGCTCAATTGGGATGGAATCCATCCACCTCAGACCTCACTGCTTCTGGTCAATTGTGGGGACCCATAGCCTCGGTGAAGGAAATAGAGAACATTCAGAGAAAATCTTGTCGTTTGACTCTAAACGCATGAGTGATGAGCAAATCCCACATCACGAAATGACGCAATGACGTCGTTCCGTCCTGGACCGTTATCAAGTCGTTTGACCGTAAAATGGTCCAGGACGGACCATCATGGACCATTTTCTGATGAGTGGTTCGGTCCTCGTATGTTCAGCCACGTTACTGTGATTCACCCCCAACAAAAATATTTGCTTTTTTGACAGTTAAATACTGTATTATACTATGTTACACAGCTGCAAAACTGATTGTTTACAATATATGAGCAAGTGTAAACAAAGATTGTTGCTTAGAGGCTGTCGATTTCGTCGAACCCTTGAGGGAGAGGATGAGGATACAGTGGGGTATTTCCCCCTCTGGATCGCCCCCATTGAGGGGCTGCTACAAGGGCAGCTTGCCGCTCTAGGGTCTCTTGTTGTTTCGATTAGTGGGTCATGTAACCCCACTGAATGGGCAACTCCACTGAGTCACTGGGGGTTGCCCATTGTGTTCAGTCTGGTCGGTGTGTTCAGTCTGGTCGGTGTGTTCAGTCTGGTCGGTGTGTTCAGTCTGGTCGGTGTGTTCGGTCTTGTCATTGTGTTCAGTGTGGTAGGTGTGTTCAGTCTTGTCAGTGTGTTCAATCTTGTCAGTGTGTTCAGTCTGGTCGGTGTGTTAAGTCTTGGCTGTGTGTTCAGTGTGGTCGATGTTTTCAGTCTAGTCAGTGTGTTCACTCTGTTCAGTGTGTTCAGTCTGGACGGTGTGTTCAGGAAGCAGAAGCTAGTGGGCCAGGTACTCTGACACCTGTAGTAAATGCTTGTTCAAATTAAAACAACTCTGGGCTGAGTAGGTTAATGCATTCGCACTCGGGCGGCCAATCGACCCCTCCGAGTAAAGCACATTAGACCACCATCATCGCTGCAGTTTGACCTCTCGACCACAGTTTAACCTCTCGAGTACAACTCGAACCACTGTAAATAAGCAGCATTAAACTGTTGTGAGCGTGGTAACTCACAGAGTGAAACTCATAACATCTTTGCTCCGCCAGTGAGTAACTTACCCAGTGAGTTCCTCCAAGCAAACACTCGAGAGGCAAAATTATTCCCTTGAGTGCGTAAAACATTGCACTTTCCACTCGAAGACGTGCCGTGACTTCCTAAGAGCGGTATCATTAACTTAACAACATGACTACTTGCCTCCGGGGGGGATACGAACACTGAACTGCTTTTGCTCAACTAATTAATCCCCGTTGTCCCGACAACAACTCCCTATGTCGCGCGCAACCGAATCCCTTCAGGAAGGAGATTTAAGTTGATAGACTCAAGTAGGTCGCATTGACATATCTTAACTGATCCAATCGACATAGTACATGTATTGTAAATGATCCAGTAGACACAGTACAAGTAATGTATTGTAAATAATCCAGTAGACACAGTACGAGTAATGTATCACAAGAGAGACACACACACGGAAAGTTTGGGATGTGTTGTGAAGGGGCTACCACCACTACCACCATCGCCACCACCACCACCACCAGCTGCAGCAGCTGGCAGGATTGACCGCAGGCCTCTCTCTCTCTCTCTCTCTCTCTCTCTCTCTCTCTCTCTCTCTCTCTCTCTCTCTCTCTCTCTCTTTCACACACACAGGCTACTTGACTAGGTGATTGTTGTACGCTAATGGCAGTGGTGATTACCGACGACCGCACGCAGTTGGTGAGAGGAATGACGTAAAGACTAGGGACATGGATTGGCCAGTCCCTAACCCTGCATATTTGTGTTTTGCGTTGTAGGCCTACCAGACAACAGAAGATGTGGATGTAGCCATATCTTGCTTGTGAGTAGCCAGCTGCAGCCAAAGCAGTGGTAACACCAACAAAAAATAAACAAACTCCTTCTACCCATCTCTTTAGTAATAAACCAAAAATATAAAAATATAACACAAGAACACAAAAGCCGAAACAAAAACAACTAATGAACTCCCACAAAATAAACCTGTCCCAAAACACAAACAAAAACAGTCAGGTATTGCTAAGATTGTCACAATCGCCAATTTGCAACAATATAGTTCTAACGTAGTGTATCAGTTGTAACTTGTGTCGTCAAGCGATGATGAAAGCAGTTGCACAATCCCCCCCCTCGGGTCATTATGAGGAGGAGTGTGTTGAAGGCCCATCAGGGTGTCGCCTCAACAAGGGTGTATCTGTCGATTCACAATCGACTTGAGATTGGTCCAGGACGGACCGAAACGTCGTCGTCCCTTCATATTCTAGTGTGTGGTCTGGTTATCTGTCAA